CAATTAAAGCTCACGGCTCAAAAGCTTAAAAAGGCTGGGAGGATATTGAAGTCCCTGCCTGCTGACAAACTGGTAGCCAATGGGTGTCAGGAGATCCTTTCTAGGGAGGGAATTCCACAAATGGGGCGCCACCACTGAAAAGACCCTCACTCCAGTCCCTGTCTCAGATGGGGAGGAAATCCAGAGGAAGGCTTCAGTTATGGACCTCAGTGAATGGGTAGTTTCATGTGGAAACATTTGTTCAAGTATTTGGGTGTCCCAAGCCGTGTAAAGGTTTGAAGGCCAGCACTAAGACCTTGGATTGTTGTCTTTGTGGTCCGGACTCTGCCAAAATGCCTGAATGGGGCTCCAGGCAGCCAGTTAAGATGTTGCCAGGAGTGGAGAGGGCAGATCCGTGGCTATTTGCCTAGAGCGAGCACACCTGCAATATCAGTGTAGTAGGTAAAAGGGTAATACTGGTCTATGTTCCACAGGGATTGTAAGGCAAGAGTGGGAAAACTGGCCCTCCGGACATTGCTGGACTGCAGTTCCCATCATCTTTGACTATTGGCTAGGGCTGATGGGAATTGGAGTTCTCCCTCCTTGTTGTAAAGCAGGTGTGGCTGGGCTGTTTATCAGCCAGAACTCACCGGAATTCAGTTCCAGCACCTCTCAGGTGAGCGCCATTGGCATTATAAGAGAACAAGGGAGGCATTCATGGTGAATTCTGGCATGTCTTTTTCTTTAAAAATGGCACCGGGCGTGGCGAACCTTTGGCCTTCCATATATTGCTGAACTAAGTGCCAGCAAGCATGGTCAATGGCTAGGGGTAATGGGAGATTACTGAGAGTGCTTTGAAGTGTGTTGAATCCTGAAATGCCCTATATCGAAGCAAAATGATGTGATAGTATTGCCTTAACAATTGTTCCTTCACATAAGACTCTGAGAATGTCCCCTTGAATTTTCATGCTTGGGCCCAGGTCATTTCCTGGAACCCCTTTGATGCAGCACCCCTGTGCCTGTCAGATAGACTACAAGGGGGCCATCGGCATGCCATCTTGAAGACAAGACAGAAATGTAATAATTGGAAGGTTTTGCCCTCCCCACTTTAAAAAGCTCTCTTACCCTAGAAGCTTTTCTACACCTTGCATTTAAGCCTGTTTTGTCCGGTGGTGATAATTTGGGAAAGGGTATTATCTAAGATAGCCATGATGTTTCAGTCTTTGAGTCTGAAAATCTAAATGGTGCTGCAGGCACAATAGGAATGACTTTGTTTCTTTTACATGTGGGGGCCCCATTTAAATTTTCAGCCTCAAGGACTGATATATATTGGCTATCTCAGATAATAGCCTTTTTCCAACTAAGCAATGCTCAACAAAACCACCTTAAAATTAAATGGTATCAAAATAAGGCAAATATGTTTTCCCAAACGGTGCATCAGAATCTACTTTCTGAGTTATACCACCTCAGCCATGCTGAATCGTTAGGGCTGACTCTGACTCATTAAAAGGATTCTATTATATTGTTGTATGGGCTGCCAGTCTCAAGTTCTTAGTTGTGTGTTGGCCACTGAAATTAACAAGTAATTAAATAACATCGTCTTAATATTTCCATTCCATAACACAGGAAATGATGCAATGAGGACTTGCATCTGAGATGGTGTCAGAATTGGCTTTCATTCTCACATTACGAATTCTAGAACAGGCAATACTACCCAGTTACCAGTACTGAAAGGGTAACTTAGAAAGTTCCTCAAGTACCAATTTCAGTGCATATATTGGGAATGGCTGCGTGGGTATTATGGAAGTAGGTTTCCCCAAAAATAAATCTGCCTAAGTTTAGAACAAGGGTGACATCTAGTGGTTAAAGTATAACCCATCTTCCCGTTGAGCCTTTATTTTTGCGCCATGAAGCAAGATGAAGGGCACAGCTACTCAAGTAAGAGATTCACAAAAGGGCATCGCTTTCTTCCCTGCTGCCCCTCTTATTCTTTGTGGACACTCACTGTTGTTTGCTGTGAGGAGCATGGATCTGTAATTGTCACAAGTACTGGATTCCGGGTGTCAATTGTTGGGCACAATTAGGGCTTTGTAAAGGGGGGGCATTCCCCCCCCCAGTGTGCTTTATACACAGTGGTTTGCAGTTGTGCACACATTCACACAGTAATGTCATCTGAAGCTGCTGTCCCTGTTGTCCATACATGCAGGTGGGCATGTTTCGAACTAGTGTGCAACGTTGTTCTCTAGTACCCTCTCCTCCGTTAGCCTTTCCACAAACCTACTTTTTTAAAAAATATGTATATTTGCAGTCTTCCAAAAGAGAGGAGCTGGAAGCTGGTGTGTTGATATACAGAGGATATATAGATATATATAGGTGTGCAGAGGTGACTTGACTGTGCTGCTTCCTATTTTTGCCCATTTCATTCATAGACATGTTAAACATGGCAAAGGGCGAGTGGCACAGTGCATATTAGGAGCTAGAGTTGCTAGTTTTCTAGCCTCCCCATCCAGTCTCTCTCATGCTCTCTCTGTGCCATCACACTAAAACTTGGAGGGGTGATCTTATTCCGAAAAATAAAAACCTTCCGTTATTGTCTATATTCTAGAACTTAATCCACAGTTGTGCACAGGATGCAAGTTTGGTAACAAGGATACATTTGTAAACTCTGGGGTTTTATCTATTGTTATTTGATCCTATCACAAATTTAGGATAGGCAGTATAAGACAGTGGGTATGATAATGAACCATGATTTATTAACTCCAATTTCCCTGTTGATAAACTCCGGTTTATAGGAGACATTAAGCTAAGTGTGGCATCTAAGCTCTCCTCCTATTCCATCAGGAGAAGCTGTACCGGTGGGAAGGGATTGGTAGTTTTGGAGGCGTCATAGATATACTATCCCTGCTAAAGAGCACATTTTTGTTTGTGGACTTTTTCAGGGAGAAGGGCAGCCCACATCTGTTTTTGCCACCATTATTCCTCCATTCTGCAGTTGCTGCCGCGCCATTCAAAACAAGAACACAGACTCAGTGAAGCTTCTTCTTTCTTATTCATGGCATGTCCCCAGCCAAGCAGGAATGAAGTGAACTCCACGATATCTGAGCAAAAAAAAAAGGTGGGGAGGAGGTAACTGAGTTTTTTTCTTTAATTTACATGGAGGCTGGATGTCCCACCAACCTGTTTAATTGAACAATAGCCTCTCTCCCACGGACGTCATCAACTGAAGGGGAAGCAGCAGCAACAGTTTAGTCCATAACTCACCTGTGTGCACTTGTTTTTCATGCCCAAAGGGTGCATTGGAATGTGAATCTCAACACTAGTAAAGGTAATGGGACCCCTGACCATTAGGTCCAGTTGTGACCGACTCTGGGGTTGCGGCGCTCATCTCGCTTTATTGGCCGAGGGAGCCAGCGTACAGCTTCTGGGTCATGTGGCCAGCATGACTAAGCCACTTCTGGTGAACCAGAGCAGCGCATGGAACCGCCGTTTACCTTCCCCCCAGAGCGGTACCTGTTTATCTACTTGCACTTTTGATGTGCTTTCAAACTGCTAGGTTGGCAGGAGCAGGGACTAGGTTGGCAGGAGCAGGGGATTCGAACCGCCAACCTTCTGATCGGCAAGTCCTAGGCTCTGTGGTTTAACCCACAGCGCCACCCGCGTCAGGGCTCTTAACAGCAGTGCTGGAAGACCTGCAAATGCCGAATAATGCCCAGGTGTAGGCAGGTAGAAACGAGGCTCAAAATTTTAAAATAGAGCTCTAAACAGCGGTTCTGGAAGACTTACCAATGCCCAGGTGTAATACTGACACCTAAGCAGTTACTAATACTAATACTAATGGAATAGAGCTCAGGAAAACATGTAGAATTGTGCCTGCTGGTTTGCTCATGTGTCTAAAGGAAGTAGAGGAACGTTGGGGTGGAAAGGCAGAACCACCAACATGAATTGTCATCTGAAGGCAGAGAAGCAGGTCACAGGTCATGTGTCTCAAGATCATCCCCACTGCCAAATGATGAGACATTGTTGTGCTTTAAACATTCATTTTTGCACCAAAGGGTGACCTTTGTGTTGGTACACATTTGGCTTGCTTTGTATGGACAAGAGGAAACAAACATCCCATAAGCTCATGAAGCACCTTCCATAGCCAGTGAGAACTGTTGGGTCAGTTCTGGGGCTGCCCTCAGGGAAGGCAGAGGTCAAGGAGTCCGGGCCAGGGAGCACACGTACCATCAGCTCCCAGCTGGCCTGAGAGGACTCCGTCCCTCTGCATTTTATATAATGTGTTTGTTTTCGTGTTTCAGAATTGTAAATCACTTGGCAGAAAGACAGCATAGAAATCTAATAAATAAGTGGACCGAGTCAGGAAACACAGCGAAGGCACTCCAAAGTGTAGTATGTCCACAGCTTATGGCAGCTCTTATTATTTTCACATAGTAGGCCTTAGGATAAGAGGAGATTGCACAAGCTTTGAATATTCTGCTTATGAGACCTGAGACAAATCTTTGTCCTCTTGGGAGTGAATCTGTTTTTCTTCTGTGAAGCTAACAGGTGTATTCCTGGGATAATTTCGCATTTTTTGAACAACGGGGAAGTGTAATGTGACCCTAAGCATGTGGATCAAGAAGAAATTCCCAAAAGATGTGGCAAATGCATTAAAAACTAGGGATAAGAGGATTTCCTCAGTTCCGTTCTGTAATTGATCTGAGATTAGCCTTGCTTTGTTTCTCTTCCAGCTGAATTTCAGTTAGAGATTGGGATTTGGGGGTAGTGGCAGAACTGGCGCTGCACCTGGTATTCACTTTTTTTAAAATTAAAAAACACAGAGACACACAAAATTCCAGAGTTTGGTAAAAATAAAATAAATGCAGAGCATACAACAATTGCCTTGCTCTCCCTCTCTTCCAACCAGTGTGTTGAACTCAGTGCAGTGCAGGATGGAAGAGTGTCTGGAAAGTCAAGAGCAATTATGGAAATAAATTTATTATTTCTTTATTTAAAATGAATGCTGTTCATTAAAAATCCCAAGCCAGTTTTACAACACATAAGAACCAATACAATAAAAAGTCCAATATAAACTTAATATGTACAGTAAATAATTAAAACACAGCAGCTAAATCAAATCAAATCAAATCACAGTAGCTGAAAAATTATCAGTGGCTTGATATGAGTGACCAGCAAAAGCCTGAGTGAACCAGTACAGGAAGTGCTGAAAACTCAACAAGGTCATTTGCCTTTTTTCCCCCCAGTGGTGGGAGCCATGATGGAAAAGTCTCCACTCACTTGTAGCTGCCAGGTGGAGTTCCATAGGCAGTGGCTTGTTCTGAGATCTCAGCAACTGGGCAGAGGTGTTGTGTCAGGTAACTGGGTCCCAAGTTATTCATGGCTTCAAAGGTCCAGACCGGTAGCAAATATACTGGAAGGAAAACAAGTTCCAAAGATTTGAGTTCTGCTCCAGAAAACATTTCTAGTAGAGCAGAACCTTAAAGTCTATGGTGGAATACAACAGAGGCAAATTCTGCAGCCATCCCTTATTTAAATGCCACGGATAAAGTCCTTAACTGTGCTCAATGTCATGTATAAATTTGCCCTGTTTGCCTTTCTCCAGTTTTGCAGAGGATTTCACACATTCTTCTTCACCTCCCCTTGGAAACAGATGGGGCTAAAAAAACAATGGAATGAATCAATTGGAAGCTGGGGATAATCATGCCCATGGCAAAGATCCTTGGACCCAATTTTCTTGTTCCACCTTGACAGGCACTGTCCAGTTTTTGAGGAGGCATCTTTTCTTCTTGCTCCAAAATGTAGGGTTGCCATATTTCAAAAAGTGAAAATCCAGAGCTATTTTTTAGGAAAATCAGCAAAAACAACACTGCTGGCATGGCTTGGCATACATCCCGATTTTTCTGGACATTTTGCCAATTTTTTCTAGGACACTGCTTCAGACTACAGATGGGAGATGGCAACCCTACTTGGACCTACATTGGTCTGTCTAGCTTTGTTTATTGCACACTAAAAAGTCGGGGTGCAGAGTGGGCTCCCCAGGCACAGATACACTACCAGCCGTACCTGGAGATTCTGGGCGTTGAGCCCTTGCAGAGATCTAAAAACGTTAAATTGGAGCACTCATCTCTGTGGTATGAGTGAAAATAATAATTCCGAAACTCAAATATGTTTTTTCCGGTAATGAACATATGCAGTTTAAAACAAAGGGGAAAGCAATTAACCCAGCACTTTAAATCCAACTGATAATAAAACCCACAACCAACTCAACAGGCAATAAAAAAGACTAATCCAATTTACGTTGGAGGTTTATTATGGTTCATTACAATCTGATAAAATAATTTTGCAATCGGCATAATCAGCATATTTTTTAAATTTTGCAATATATACTACAATCTTTGTCTTTTAGCATGCAGAGGGTAAAAGTACAATCACATGGATAAAAGGTTTTTCCATTGTAAAACTGAAGGGATGGGGGAGAGGCAGAGTCTAGATTACAAAATATGGCTTTACTTGATAAGTGGTAAAATGGATTTATCAAGATTTCATGTTATTCAGCAAATGGCAGCATGTGCCCATTTAAGCAAATACCTAATACAAAGGGGTAGAATGTATAGCTGAAACAAAGAATTGCAAATGTATGAAAATCAGCAATTTTCCCAGTTTCACTAGTCATTCTTTGCAAATTTGCAAAATTTCAAAGCCAAATTTAAATGTGCGCTTCTAATGTGATCTTTTTTCTTTTAGCTCAGAATTAAAAAGCAGAATTAAATCCCTTGATCTTGGTTGGGTTGGGAACTCTATTTCTCCAGCTTCCAAGCAGCAACAGATTCTTCTGAGCATGCTCTGAACCACATCAAACATTACAATAGCCTTGTAATGTTAATCAGTATTATTAATATCATACTACAGACTGCAGGGGGGGCGGTGAGATTTGAGGGAAACGGTTATTTGCCTAAAGCAACCCAGTGGCTGAGTTAAGGCTTGAACTAGCGGCTGCCTGGGCTAGAGCTCCTTCTCTCAGACTCCACACTTTGCCAGTGCGGGCACCAATTATGCCTCAGGTAAGCGTGACAAATGCACAATCATGGTCCTACAATATTAACACAATGGTGACCAACGAGTTCTCTGGGAGAGGTGCCCCATTTTCCTAGTTACAGAATACTGAAAGAGAGATGTCACTGCAACAGTAGATCCTGACAGAAGATTTTAGGACTCTCTGCCACAGATGAAAAACATATGTGCATTATTACCAAATTCTTTCTGGAGGAATCTAGCAGTTCAGTCTTTTGCAATGTTTCATAGACTTGACATCAAATTAAAAATAATAATTGAGATTTCTTATTCATGTATACAAATACATTTTTCCTTCCTCCCTCCTTCCCTCTCCCTCTCCTTGAAATTATTTCAAGAGTCCAATATGCCACAAGACATCTGCCGTCGACATTCATTCTGTTTGGTTACAAAAATAAACTATATTAATATTTGTCACCATGCAAATGCATGGACTTCCCCGCTTCTGGGTAAGCCCAAAGAAATGGACAGAAAGGCTTGAAGGTTGCTTTCTCTAGGTGCCTTCCAGATGCTATGGACTCATCCCCTGTCTCCATGGCCAGTTGTTACAGATGGTGGGAGTTGCAGTCTGAAACATCTCATGAAAATCATAATGGGAAAGGGTGATGGAATGGTTATTATTATTATTATTATTATTATTATTAAAAGCTGTCTGTGATGAGCAAGCTTTAAATCAGAGGTGACTAACCTGTGGCCCTCAAGGTGTTGTTGGACCACAACACCCAGCAGTCTTGATTCCTGACCATGCTGGCTGGGAATGATTGGAGATGGCGTCCAACAACATTAGAATAACTACACCCCTGCTTGAGTGAAACATTCACCAAATTAAATGCCAATAGACGTGAGGTAGACTTGGCTGTAGAATGACTACATTATGGTACAGAAGACTTGCAAGGCATCAGGCCAGGGTTTCCCAAACTTGGGTGGCTAGCTATTTCTGGACTACAATTCCCATCATCCCTCACCGCTGGTCCTGCTAGCTAAGGATGATGGGAGTTGTAGTCCAAAAACAGCTGGAGACTCAAGGTTGGCAAACCCTGCATTAGGCAAATATATCATTCCTAAGGGCAGGTTAAAATACTCTCCTGTGACTTCATTCATACATAGTCTGGTGTGCCAGCGAAGCCTGAATATCATTGTATTCTTACCGCTTAAACTGTGGTGCAGTCATCTGAGCAGGTAGCCTGTTCCCTACCTTGTTTTGGGTGAGAAAGTGTATCAGCAGCCATCTGGTATGCCATACCTTGTGCAGCAGGCATGGTGCCTGTATAGAAACCAGGCCTATGATTGCTAATGAAGCAGATGTAACCCTAATGGTATCACCACCCATTAATGCACGATATGCAGCAAAGATTCAGAAATAATGAGCCAAAATAGACCAGTGGTCTGACGTAAGAACATAAGAAGAGCCTAAAGCCCCATCTAGTTTAGCATCCTGCTCTCACAGTGGTTAACCAGATACCCATGGGAAGCCCACAATCAAATCCTGAGCACTGCAGCACTCTCTCCATCTGTGATATCCCGGAAGCTGATATTCAGAGGCAGATAGTGGAAAACAGCCATCATGACTAGCAGCCATTTGGAAATGCCTTGGACCAATATTTCAGATTTTTGTCAAGCTGATGATGGCAGCATTGTATACTATGCTGAGCTGAGCCAAAATTTCTCATCAGGCTTTTTTTCCCATGTAAAAATAAAATAAAATCTATGGCTTTTTTTTCCTTAACCCCTTAGGAAAAGGAGGCAGTTTTGCAGACTTTCCTCCCAACATTCTCCATCATATTTGTGGTGGTCACCACCTCACCTCTAGTCACACACACACACCCCACCACCAAAACACACACACACACACACACACGATTCCAGGGGCATTGTAGGGATGCAAAATGGTGGCTGGGCTGTCAACACAGCTGCTGCTGTTGTGACTTGCAGTGGCTGTGAAAGGGGGGGAAACTCCCCGGGGGAGGGAGCTACTGCCTCTGTGAAATGTGAGGAAAAAATGATGAAATATTTGCCCTTCCCCTGCAGAAATTCAATTGAATTCCCTCCAGTTTCTCTGCCGAGGGTGGAGAATGTTGACAGGCTATTTGTGTACACAGCTCTAATAAAAAGTGACAGAGAATTACAGACTTGCAGCAAGTGACCTTTGGCTCCTCCAGTCCAACTGACTGCTCCATGCAGGAGCTGCAATGCAGGATTCCTAGCAGATGGCTGGCCAGACTCTGCTGAAAGACCTTGAGGGGCAAGGGTTGGGTTAGCAATACTAACAGGCAGTGTTGCAAAACATTTACAGGTTGACTGGAAGTAGTACGTACTGAAAGCCTATCCCGTGCCCTTGTAGTGGGAGAATGGGCAACTGTGCCACAAGTAAGGAAATGCTAAGCTACTTCCCATGTCTTAATACAGGCTTGCCATACATCAGAAATATTCCTGACAATGTCCTGTTTTTTGGCTGAAAAAATGATGTCGGGGGTAATTTTGCTGAAGTGGAAAAAGCAGCAGAAACAGCTCCAAAAAGCTTAAAATCGCTATTTTTCAGGGAGGCTTAAAAAAAAAAAAAAGCTCCAAAATTTTGGGGTCTTCCTAAAAAAAAGCTCAACAGGAATTTTAGCTTTTGAAACATGGCAACCCTACTTAATAAAAGCAAGTATATGTGCATTTGCAAAATATGCATTGCAGAAAACTGCAATTTAGTTTTTTAAAAGCTGAGCTCATAGCCCTCTATGGTTTATAAAGTAGGCACTGCAGCTGTGATTTAACGACAGCATAATGTACAGATACTAGGTAATGATGTTTGCTGTCATGCTGCACTTAATAAGCTGCTATTAAACGCACAAAGCCCTCCTTCCTCTGCCCCCTATCAATTGGCAATCTCATTGGCAAGACCCATAGGAAATTGATCAAGTAGTAGCCCTTAAAATGGATTATTTTTTCCACGATGCAGAGGGACCTGCAGAATCCCTGAGTACCATTGAAACAAGTTGCCGAGAGGTTTTTCTTAGCCATGGGCTAGCTAGAATTTTTCTTTTGGGATCTCAGGGATACAGGGTCATTAGATACCCCATACTGGATTCTGGGGGTGGGTGGAGATTCAAATGGATTGGTACTGTTATTTTATGTCAGTTTCATCTCACGAGTAATAATGAACAACCCATTCTCTCAAAGTGTATCTATTTTCCAGGGACAGTCCCAGATTTACATAAGTCGACCTGGTTTCTGATTTGATCCTGGTATGTCCCGATTTTCCTTTAGGACACCCCTATTTTCACTGGAGAAATGTTGGCGGGTGTGGAGTTATGCGACCCCCGAACCAAGGAGATAAATAACCATACAACCTTTAGAAGACCTCTGAAGGCAACACTGTATAGGGAGGTTTTTCAATGTTTAAAGTTTTATTATGTTTTTATATATGTTGGGAGCTGCCCAGGGTGGCTGGGGCAACACAGTCAGGTGGGCAAGATATAAATATTATTATTGAATATGATGTCCCTATTTTCATCGGAGAACTATTGGAGGGTTTCCAGAATATTCTAACCCTAAAGTTCTGGTGTTTCACTCTGTCCACTCTGGAAAGCAAACCCCTACAAATTTTATCACCAATGATATCCCTGTCCAGTTCTGATGTAGCTTTCGCAGGCTGCTGACTTGTGCCTGAAAGCAAACAGTGGCCTCTATTCTGTAACTTTGCAATCTTCCATTCTCTTCCCGGTCTAAAAGTACGCTTCATCTCCTCTCATCAATGCCTATCAGTGACCATGGATTTCATCCTGAACCTCCTTCAGTTTCATCCTTGAAACTTGTTTGAATTTGGATTGGATTTTTTAAGGTTTGGTTCATTCAGGGAGATTTTATCTGGTCGAAAACAGTGTGCAGATATCTCCCTTGTGGGATTATTCCTAAATAGCGCTTGCTTAAAGAATGCTACCCTTGTTCCCATCTTTGCTGACATCCAAATTAGAAGCTGCAGCTGCAAGAGGAATGAAAATAACACCAGACCCAGCCCTTTCCCCACAGATTCCAACAGCTGGTGTCTCTTTGGCAAAGGCTGGGGTCCAGTCCCAACAACCCCTCTGTTGTTCTGTAGATCAGTCACAGTGGATAGCGGTTCCTTTGTTCTTAGCCTGACTTTGGAGGCTGCTGCAAAGATATGGTTAGACACACCTCTAAATCTTCTGTGAGACTGGCTTAGGAAGCGTATAATACTACCCTAATCATTCTCCCTTCTGTAAGAAGGAAGGAAACTCTGAGCAGCGACAAGACTGCAAAGTGAGCAGCCTTCACAGTTCAGGGAATTGCTGCCAAATTTGTCTGCTGTGGCTAATACAATATGGGGCGAGGGGGACAACAATTTAAAGGATGTGTCATTTTCCAATGATGAAAGAGGGTCTTGCATTCGAAATGTTTGCTAGGATAGGGTGCATATAATATAAAGCAAGATAATTGATAGTATTGTGTGGCGATATTTCAGATACATTTTCCCTTATCATTTTTCACCAAAATGAGATTTATTAGATTGCCTGCTGCAACATGGTTAGCTTTATTGATGTGGGCTTTATTTGCAATTTGATTATTATTTGAGCATTGCTTGATTCAAGTGTACACACACACACACACGTGTGTGCGCGTTTGTTGCCTAGTTCATTTAAAACATTCTTTACTCTGGATGGCATTTAGTTGTGTTGTCTGTGTGGCTGGTTGGCTAGAAACTGGTTCTGTTTTGCTGTATCAGAAATGTACTGCTAAAGTTTCCTAGATGCCTCTCCTTTATGTCCTCACATAGGTGGGGTAAGGCTAAGGCAACCCTGTGAACTTCAAAATGCTGGAGGGAGGGTCCTGAGAATTTAATCATGGAAAGGAAGAGGGATACTGAACTGTCTGTTTTTTGTTTGTTAGTTTTTTAAGGTGCTCTTGCGCCCTTAAGAGCTATATGGCAGAAGTTCAGCAGGCACAAATTCTCAGTTTGCTGCAGGATTATGTCACAGAGCTGGTGGGGGGCAGGTGCTGCTGTGCTCATGTCCTCTAGACGGGCTTCCCATAGGCATTTGGCTGGCTTTGAGAACAAAATGCTTGGCTAGATTGGGGCATTTGGTCTGATTTGTCAAGTACCTGTGGGGAGTTGCCAATACCAGAATGTAATAAGAGATTCTTGCGAATCATGTAGATCTGTTCAAACCCACTGGCTCTAATAGAACACATAGCTTACATTTTGTTGCAGAGATAAATTTCAAAGACAGAGATAGTATCCTCAATGTGCCTGGCGTATGCTAGGGCACCAGCTCCTAGGCATCCAATAGACACAGCAAAGACCTGTTCATTTGTTCACAATGATGAAATTGCACTATTATCTGTTTCAAATTCTGAGTCTTCTTAGGCATTTACATTAAAGGGACAGCTTTGCATTGCCCACCATCACGGAATTTGGACCTATCTGTGAAAAACAGGTCAGCTTTATACAGAGCAATGGTTATTATCAAGCCAAGTTGCCTTAAGAAAAATGCTTTAGCCCCATTTCCATAGGATCCTACAAAGCTGCCAGATGCTTAATCAGACCACTCGGTCCGTATAGCTCAGCACTGTACTCACAGACTGGCTGGGGCTGTCCAGGGTTTCAGAACTTGCTTCTAACCTGTTCAGGAGGAAGCAGCTCCCCTCCATTTCCATACGAGTTGCTTCCCAGGAAACATGCTTAGGGACAGGCTCTCACTCAGGACTGGCCCCACCATAAGGCAGAGTGAGACAGGTGCCTCAGACAGAGGGGGGGAGCGACAGCTACACAACCCACCTTGCAACCCCTAAGCCAGCCTGCTGCCTCCAAGTGCAGTGGCGGCTGCTCGCCTGGCACCTGTGTTGAGGTAAGGTTCATCTGCCAGTCTGTTTGGCTTTTCTTTGTGGAATTCTGGGGTTGTGGATGGCTGGGGGGGGGGGGGAGAGAGAGCCTCTCGTTCTTCTCTTTCCAGAAAAGCATCAAGGCCCATCCCTTGATGTTCAGTGTTCTTCTGGCCAGAGATGCCTTGCTGAAAACAGCATGCGATCCAAAATCAGAGGAGCAAACATGTGTTGCTCATCTACAACGTGGGCATGTAGGGAACACAATCCTTTCTGGCAGAGGTAAAATGAACGAACAAAAAACAAGAAACCATGCACCTGGAGCTGCAGAGATTGTGCACCTTGAAGGAATGCTGATGGGTCGTTATTTAGGCAGGTTACATCAGTGGTCATGGTTGGGTGGGGGAGATAAGTTGGGATGGGCAGAGAGGCAGGAGCAGCCTGTCTACAGGCAAACAGGCCAAACTCTTTGGTTGACGATGGTGACCTTCGTACATTCACTCACAAGGTCTCATCCTCTAAGGTGGGCAGGGTCCCTTTTTCCTAAGTCAAAAGCCCTCACACTGGCTGGGACTGATGGGAGATGTAGCTCAAGACATCTGGAGGGCGAAGGCTGCCAGCCTTCTTTCTCAGCAACTGCAAGGATCGCACTGCATTTCTTGCAGGGAAGGGGGTGCATCAGCTGTCTAATATTGCATTGCTTCTTGCAGTGAAAAAAATACAAGCAGCCACTGTAGGTCTCTAGCATTAAGGACCATGCCATATCTTCCTTTGTAGGCATGCTCACTCTTGAAACTACAGTGACACTGTGAGCAGAGAGGAAAGGGGAGGGTAAGGGTATGTCTGGCACATTGTGATGTGCCGTGGAAATTGGTCTTTCCCCTACCACTCAGCTTTGAAAAGGAATTCCATCTATGTAGGTTTCATTGGGTCCTTTCCACCACACCACCAACCTACCTAGCTTTTGCTAGAAAGGCTCAATGTTTTAAGGTGACACAACAGTATCCTGCAGCCAGAGGGACTCCTCACCACTGCAGGAGCACTGAAGGCCAAGACATTTATGATCATAACTGCTGATTCATTATGCAGCACTTGAGAAAACTTAAAAAGAGTTCCTCCTTTAACCCCCACCACACGCTCCCCTAACAGCACAGTGATCTGGTAGGCTGCAATCCTGCATAGAGTTATGATCCTTAAAACTCAGTGGTGTTAATAGAAGTTAAGGCATCAAGCAATGTACAGGATTGGGACCCTGGTCCATATAATGCCTTGTGAAAACAGTGCCTTTTAAATAATAACAACAATGCAAAACCTGGATAATTTACATAAAATACAAACAATAAATCAGGAGTGCTGCTACACTGATTTCAGCGAGCAAAATGTACATTCAGCTCAATGTAATATTTTCACATGCACAGAATGGGAGGGGTTTTTTAATCTGAAAAAAATAGAGAGATTTCATTTGACAACATATACTAAGGCTGGGATTTTCAGCGGCATCAAACAGTAGCCCAGATTTCGATACCAATTCAGTAATAACTGGGCAGCAAATCCCCCTAAGGCAGCAATCCTACTTGAGAGTAGTCCTATTTAGCTCAAGTGGAAGTGCGCTGGGGGTTTGGTTTGCAGCCTGAAGCACCTTTGAAAACCCCACCTGAACAAATTATACAATTTGAATGTGACATTTTTTTTAAAAAAAGCATAACATCATGGAAAAACATTTACCATATTTTTTGTTGGGTGCTGCTTGCCGAAGCGAGGCAGGGGCTTTAATGCCTGAGGTATAGGAAGTTCCTGGATGCTTTTAGGGAAATGGGAGGGTGGGAGAGTCTGAAGGATGGTTTGCATAGCTTGCAGGTATAAAGATGCAGGCATGTTCCCCACCAGGCTATGGAACTTGTCCTCCCCTAGCAGAACTGCCCAGTGTTCTGGGTGCTCTTGCAGCACCTTCCTCATCTTGAACCGAGGGCTGGGCATGAAAAGCAAGAGGTAATCGAGGCAGAGCTTTTTGGACGCCACGTTGACTTTCGAGTCCCACATCTGCTCCAAGATGACATCCAGCGGTGTCAGTCCTTTGCTGTCCTCTATCCTGGGAGAGGCCCCGTTCCCCAGGAGGATCAGAACCGTCTCTGACCTCAGGAGCTCGCAGGCGAGATGCAGAGGGGTCTTCCCATCTTCCAGGTGGAAGCAGCCGGTTCGGTTGATGTAGGAGTTCAGGCTGGGCAGCTTGTGGGAGATGCCGATGATCAGCCCCAGAATGTCTCTCCTGTCGTAGGTGACAGCCATGGCCAAGTGAGGAGCAGAGGAAGGGCAATAGCAGAAATGTTCCCCAGGGACTTTGAGAGCCTCCTCCGGAAAATGAGACAGCAGGTACTGGGCATAAGGCAGGTGGTTGTGAACCACGGCGTAGAGCAGGGCTTCGGAAGGGGAATACGTCCTCAGGCTGGCATTTTCTTCCCAGTAGAAATACTCCATAGTCCTCATGTCTTCCAGCATCCAGACAGGTTTGTGATCTCTGACAGCTTGGTAAAACATATAGGATAAGAACTTGCAATGCCTGCTCTGGTCATCCTGTAAGCTGGCCTGGTTACTGGCCATGTCTCGGAAGTCCCAATGGTGAACAAGCCCTTTTGTGCCAAAAAGAAAAGGGGGGGGGGCTCCACTTGCAAGCGAAGGCTGATGTTCAGTTTGAATGCAGATTCCAGAGGCTGCTACAACCTTCAGACTGTCATTGCAGCAGCCTGGACTGCACTAGCCGGAATGCATAGCTCTTTCTCTGACGGGCTGTTCATCTCCACCCATTCATTGTTTTCCCTTTCTCACTGCGGCTGGTTTTGTTGAGGTAAGCAGAATCTCGCCAGCTCAGTTAACCATTGCCATGCAAGCACGCAGTAAATGCAGTCGGTTCTCTGTTCGGCGCAGGTTAATGGAATACAGATAGCTGTGATTTAACAGCCGGAGAGAGAGCTATTTGCAGGGGACTATAATTAGCTTTGCAAAAGGAGCAATTTTCTGCCTGCAGTCAGGGCCCAATCAAAGCTACAATAACTATTGCAACAGAGTGTGTGTGCATCCTGATGTTTATGTGCTCCTAGAACTGTTAGGGGCATGTGTGTGTGATGTCACTTATACGCATTCTCCATACAGATGCAGTCCCTCAATGGATTAATCTAGTGTAGTTATTTTATATTTTAAAAGGTATACAGAATACCATATTCATGAAAAGTATCATTGTGGTTTACAACAGTTATGCATAAAACCATGCGACAAAAAACAAAAATGTTAAAATCAGAAATCAGCTATTGTGGAAATGTGCATTCTTAATTGCCTGCAGAAACCTGGCATAAAAGTTTTCAGCAGGCATTTAAAAATTAAAACAGAATGCGACTGCTAAATCTTTAATGAAAGAGTAATCCACAAAACTGAGCTGACAACACGAAAGGCTCAGTTTCTTGCTGCTGTCAAATGAATCTCGCCAGTTTGGAGGACGACCAACAACACTCCTGCAGATGTTCTCAGGGATCCAGCTGGGATATAAGGCTTCAGGTGGTTCCTAAGATAGCTTGGACCTAAGTTGTTCAGGGTTTTGTAAATACAAGGACCTTGAATCTGGCTTGCTAGTAGATTGACAGATTGTATGCAGGCTGAGACCCTACTTACCCGCAGTCTGTCTTGCCAGAGTGGTGCATGCTCTGGTTATCTCCCGCTTGGACTATTGCAACACGCTCTATGTGGGGCAACCTTTGAAGGTGACCCGAAACTACAACTAATCCCGAATGCAGCAGCTAGACTGGTCACTGGGAGCGGCCGCTGAGACCACATAACACTGGTCTTGAAAGACCTCCTAAATGGCCTCGGCCCAGTATACCTGACGGAGCATCTCCACCCCCATCGTTCAACCCAGAAACTGAGGTCCAGCTTCAAGGGCCTTCTGGCCCTCACTGCAAGAAATGAGGACACAGGGAACCAGGCAGAGGCACTGGCAGAGGAAGAGGAGTGTGGGGGGAGCACACCACCCCCAGCAGCGCGATCCCGGTTGGGTGCCATTGCAGCTACCCCCACCCGCACTGGGCACCACACCCCCAGGACGAGTACCACGCCCCTGCGGGTGGTGCGCCATGCCTCCGGGACATGCGCCAGCCCCGCCCCGCCCCTGCCTGCTCTCCACCCCCCGGTGCCAGAGCATGAAGCTCCGCCGCTGGGCAGAGGGCCTCTTTGGTAGTGGCGCCTGTCCTGTGGAACACCCTCCTATCAGATTTCAAAGAAATAAACAACTATCTGATGTTTAGAAGACATCTGAAACAGCTGTTTAGGGAAGTTTTTAATGACTGATGTTTTAATGTATTTTTAATATTTTGTTGGAAGCCAGCCAGATGGGCGGGGTATAAATTTTATTATTATTAATTATTATTATTATTACTAGATTTTCAAAAAATAGTGGCACAAGTTGTCAGCCCGGGGCCCACATCATCATCATCATCAAATTTTTTTTGTATACTGTCTTTCTATCTTACAATACTCAAGGCGGTTTACAAGCTGACGAAGTCTCTCCCCTCACTGTTCTTTCTCCAGGAACAGCTCCCTCATGAGGAGTCCCAGGGCCAAGGGGTGGGGCAAGGCAGGTAGAAAGATATGTTTTTCACCAAAAATAGCAGCTTTGAGGTGCCACAAGACTTCCTTTTCTGCAAGACTAACAAGACTACTACTCTGGAAACCCTCAAGATTGTTATTTACAGTTATTTTTCAGTGCAGATCCAAAGGAAGCATCCCACTGCTATCTTGTCTAATAAACACGCAGAGAAATATGGCACTGCATCTTACTGCGGAGTGCTGAAGCTGCTCCAAAATGTTGGCATGGAGTATTTCCTCTAATGAGCTATTACATACAGGCCTGAGAACAGAAATCCATTAAGTGGATTTCCTCTGCTTTAGCTGTGCAGTACAGAAATGAATCAGCTTTCCAAGCCCTAATGTATGCCACATCCAAGGGCTCCTTCCTTTTATTAGCATTATTTTCAATCTTCCCTACGTGGACATAACAATTCAATCAAATCTTTTTTTTAAAAAAACCAAAAACAACAGCTGGTTGATTTGGCACAAGCTGTTGTTTTTCCAGCTATCTATCCCTGCACTATCTCACTCTTGGATCAGGGGTTCCAGCTGATTTTTTTGTTCCCAAACATTTATTTGCTGGGTAAGATGTTTATTCCTGTTGGGCTCTTGTATTCTGGCGTTGAGCAGATGTACTGCTTCCCCATTGCTACATTATAAAGCCAAAGAAACAGGACAGCCTCGGGTACCAATCAGCTAGTGCTGTGCCTTGCAGCCCTGGATGCATTACTTGGGTTATGCTCTGGAAAACTTTGCAGCAGACCCACAACAACTCTTTCTGTCTCTCCCCACCAAACCCCCAGAGTATATGATGGAAACAGGAACAACAGATGCTGCAATCCACTCAAGGCACCATCTAGGTCTCGTTTATATTTTATATGGTTTTACATTATTATACATGTAGCAAACCACTGTGAGGGGGCAGGATATTGCATTTTGAATAGTGATTGAGACACTTATGAAACAAATAAATAAAAGTTAAAAGTAATGGCCACCACCTTGGATGGCATTAAGAGGATTAGAAAAACTCATGGTGTATAAGGCTATCTGTGGCTACTGGCAACAACAGCTATGTTCTCCAGGCTGGAGGCAATATACCACAGAATACCAGTTGCTGGGAATCACAAGTGGGATATTATAATATATTGATGTATTTATGGTTGCTGCATATGATTCTAGAAAGCTATGGCAATCTGAAGTAAGAAATTTTATTATATGGAACCAAACTAAGTCAAACAGAACAGCTGATCATCCTACAGTATCCGATTCTGAGGAGGAGCGGAAGGTGGACAATTTTAACAGATGCATGTTTGTAGTCAAAAAGGTATGTACTGTCTAAATAGAAATGAATCTGCTATGCACCCTACTCCATTGAAAACAGCAATCCATGTTGCTTTACCTACTTGTAATAACTCACCCTTTAAAAAACAAAATAAATTTTTGCTGTGATAGCTCGCACCTGAGAAGGAAGGTTTTATTTTGGCCTGCAGAGAACAAAAAGAGATTCCATTACAGGAAGCCAGGCAGACTGTTCCAACCAAGCTGTGTTGCAATATACAACAACAGCTATCTCCTTCCACTGTAAATATCTGCCATTCCTTCCTTATATTTGTATATTTAAAACAAGCAAAAAAAAAAAAAGTCTCAAGAAGTGTTCTTGCCAGTGAAGTATAGAGCTGGAGACCATGCAGGACAAAACATACTTTATTGTACTGCAACATCAAAAATACATGTAGAGTACATCAAGGACTGCCAATCACAAGTTGCCAGTTAAGTTACTAAAATAATCGGGAACAACTGAAATCAATAGTAAAGTTTACTCATCTGAGGCACAAGTACACTATTGTTTAAGTATCCTGATTTGACTTAGCTCCAGTACACAAATCTACATGTTGCCCCTCTAAGTTGCATATTAGAGCTACTTATCAAGCTAAGAGGGGTGCCCAAACTACAGCTCAATGGCCAGAATGCCACATGTGGAGTGCAAGATACAACTCCTCATCCAGTCTGCAAGTTATATATGGGAGGCATTGCTCATGGAACAGTATTCCTAAAGGCACTTGCAAAGGCAACCCCTCACCCCAGCCTGTGCAAGTGTGGTTAGGACTGAAGTAAGGACTACTGATCCTCCAGATATATGGATGCTTTATTTGCATTCCTTGCTCAGTGGCAGAACTTAACAGGTGCTATCTGATTGCTGAGGATCAATTACAGTAAGGCAAAAACCTTGTCTAGGAAGTAACTGGTACTGACAAGGAGAGTACAAAATTGTGATTAATATTTTTAAGATGCAGGTCTTGGACTTCCAAGAAATGTAGCTTGGCAGGCCATGCTGGCAGCAACATTTGGGCACCCCTGAGTAAAGAGTCCACAGAAAGGTTTTTCAGGTGAGCAAGATCCAGTATTGCAACACAAGTAACTGCTACAGGAAGCAACAGATAACCTGTGACTAAGTACAGCCAGATGAACTTCTGCTGGTGAAAGCAGTAAAGGTGCAGCACCACAATGGAAAGATGCAACTAAGAGTAAGAGCTTTGATATCAGAAGCAGCATTTGAAGACAAGTTGTTAGCCACTTAAACAGATTTAGATCAGATGCCTAGTTGTATGCATGGCTGTACATGCTGGCATGCCCTTCTTCTTTATAGTTAGGTTTCTAATGCAAAGCTATGGATTAAAAAGAAGGGAAATTCTCAGATTAGGAGTTGCAACTTTTCTATTTAAGGAAGTCAGCCAAGAAACAAACAAATAAACAAAACAAAAAAGCTGCAGCAACTGCTCAAGTCCCACCCATCACTACCTACGTAGTTCTGAAGCAACACAAGACTGGACAGCCATTTGTCTATATAATTAGGTAAGTTACATCAGGAAACTGAGAAGACAAGCAGTTTTGCCCTATTAAAAAAAAAAAGTCAACACCAGCCTTATGGTGGAAGGGGTGCTTAGGTAAATGAGGAATGAAAAAAAAATTGGGTTACACACAAAAAAAAGGTACAGACAAGCACAGGCTCTGTACTACCAATGAACCCCAACAAGAATATGAATCAACGGCCAGCACAAACTGGACTAAACACTGAACCTTTAGCACTCATCATAAATTCGGACCTCTTAAGCCAGCAGATCAGGTGAAAAGTCTGGCTAAAATCGAATTAAAAGGAAGGACAAAAAATTGAAATAAATTAAAAGATTGCTACACTTAAAATTTTCCTTTTGATGTAACAGGTTTTACAAGCTAAAATCCAACTGTATTCTCTCAAATGAAAGAAATATTCCAAATTGCTTTCAGAGGATTTGTAACTTCAAATGCTTACATATCTGAGACTTTAAGAGAAAAAGCATAGTTACAACATCCATTCAACATTCCCTATGAACTGAAAGGGATAAAAAAGGAGAAAGAAATAAAGGAAAGTTCCGTCTGAAATTCTCTCACAATCTTTCCCACTCTCTAGTTCATGAATCCAACGCTGATGCTAAGGTGACAGTGTATGTAAGTATATTTTTTGTTGTTGATTTTTCTCTTTTTAAAGTTTCAACAGAGAAAGCCTGGAGACAACTGAGATGTTCATTCATGAGTTATCAGATGGAACATGCTCCTCAAACCCCTCGCTCTCTCGGACTAGAGCTCTTTCCAAGATAACACGGCCCTCCTTATACCGCTGGCTGTCTTCAGTGGCAAATTCATAGATCCAGCCTAGCTTGCTGTTGCAGTTCTTGCAGCTCACATCACGAACCATGTGGCGTCCAGTGAGCATGACCCGATCCTGGACTTCACTGTACTGCAGATTTACTACCTGTAGCAGATAAAAGGGATAGAAAGAATTTGAGATGTAGTTAATCTACAGAGGAATTGCCTACAGGGCCTTCATCTCTAACTGCAAGGACACATTAACAGTAATGACCTTCCTGGGGCACTCTGTGAAAGAAGCACTCTGGCTGCATCCAGACCAGTACAGCTGCTGCCAAAGCTGACAGTGCCAGGTTTTAAAACTGCCCCAGCCTAATACAGCAAACCACTGATTTTGGGGAAATTTGAAAGGAGCTCTGCAAAGAAAAAAGTAGACAACACTTGTTGTATTATATTAA